GATCTGTAACAATAGTTTTTGGCACTCCATGCACTCGTACAATTTCATCAACATAAATTCTGACTAAATTGTTCACAATATCTGTCTGTCTGATATGCAAGAAATGTGCAGAGTTGGTCGGATGATTAATAATCACAATTTTTTTAATAGCAATTTCTCTCTGCTCACCACCTGCACCCTACAATCTACTCCCATCAGCTGTTCAAGAACCAATCCACAACTTCCCTCCACATCCCAAGCTCCCTTGCCCTCATTCTAAAAATCCTTTTCACCTATACCACATGTTGGACACCTAATACAAACCGTTACCAAAATAGCTCATCTCAAACAAGAACAAATTTTCATGGTACACCATTATCTATCCTCTTCTCCAGAATCCACCTGCTATTTATCAGTTATTGAAGAGGAAAAACGGCTGTAAGCTATGTCTCGGAGTTTCATGCTTTACTTGTCGAAGGCACATGGTTTCTTGTGTCTCCAAGCCCAACTCAAAACACTCTTAATGGCTATAATCAAAACAAGGAATTGACTTTATCAAAACTTTCAACCTGAAGTTGAAAGTCATATGGTTCCTCATGGTTGCTCTCATTCAAAATTGGACAATTATGTAAGATGTCTCCAATGCCTTACTTCAAGGCACATGACATTAGGCAATCTCCATGACTCAGTCAGAAGGCTTTCATGATCCCCAATGTCCTAACCATATATACATTTTAAATAAGGCCATACATGGTCTCAAATAGATACCTTAATTGTGGTTCACTTCATTTACCAATTATTTTCAAAACCAACACCATGTCCCCTTAACATGAAACAACATAACTAACATCACATATCTTCTCCTAAGGCTACAGGCCTGATTCAACATGCACAACCTGGGTAATATTTCACAGTTCCTTGGCGTATATGTTCATATAACTAGCTATGAAATCTTTCTCTCAACATATGCTAGTACATAGTTTTTCAATGAACTGTAATGACCAATTGCAGCTTCTCTGAATTTCATGCCATCTAAAGTTACTCTCATGATGTCCTTTCAGTTAGCCGCTGGCTACCCCATCTCCCATGGTTGCCTAGTGGGTTCTTCAGTAACTTGTAATTACTTGGCTAGACATCTCCTTGGTTGTCAATAAAATGTGTTAGCATATGCATACACCACTCGATGTACACTTTCAGCTAGTTAAGGGCCTTTTTTTTCTTGCATCAAGGCGACAACCAAACATGTCTTACAAGTATTCAGCGGCCAACTCCACTTTCATGCTTACTCGGACTCGGATTATGCTAATGATTCATTGGACCAATAATTCACTCTGGGATTATACGAAATCTTAGACTAGACTTTTATTTTATTGTGTTAGAAAATAAACCATCGTCACTTGCTCATCAATTGAAGTAGAATATGAGGCACTAGCTGGTGCTGCTACACATTCTTCAAGAACTAGATATTTCTCAATAATTAGGAGCAACACTATATTGGATCTATCTAAACGTTGATCTTCCATACTCTGTACTAAACACACAAAATCAATTATCATTTTATGAGAGATTGCATCAAATCAAATGAAATCTTTGTCCGCCATGTATCCTCTTATGACCATTAGACATGCCTCTTTATAGAAGCTCTTTCCACTACCCGTTCTCAACAATTTGAGACTTTCAAATCAAGGAGAGGTTAAAACCATATACTGTGATTATCACAAACTTAACTCCGGTCCACTACGCCCAACAGTAGATGCCTACACACACAATCAAAAACACCAAGCCTACCTTAATTGAAAGCAAAATGCAATCATCTTTAGAAAATTGACTCAGGCCCATTATTGTTGACATGGAGTCATCTAATCATACTCTCAAATCACCAAGCCAATTTCAAACTCTAACCTCTATCCATATAACATACTCAACCAAGCATATAAAAACAAATCACTGTAAGTCTTGACGGGCTAGTTTTTCAGTATTAATCAAATGAATTCAATGATTATTTGAGTGTTTAGTTATTCTGTATTCTCTTTATTCTCTCAAACTACAAATTCTACTTCATTAGTATCTTAGTGCTGTTGTTTTTTATTAGTTTTGCGACATCCTCTGAGAGCTCTGTTTCACTTTTGATGCTTGCGCTTTTTGTTCTACTAATTTTAAGCATTCGATCTTCTAAATATTTTTCTTAATTTATCTAATTATATTCCTATTTGAATAGATATCTTACTGATTAGAATTATATCATTCCTATATGACATACAGGAAGGCACTTTATACTGAACATCCTTTGTAAGCATCTTTATAACTAATAAAAAGTCAGACCATTATTTATACTTGATGTAATCTATTATAGTTAACAATATTTTATCACTCCAAAAACACTCCTCATACTAGTCTTTACAAATCCCTTTTTTCTTACAACACATCAATTAGGCTCTCATAATATTTGATCATACACCTTATTAAAATCAATAAAAATCACATGAAAATCATTTTTTTTTACTTTATTTACTTCTTCCTTAATTTTATTAACATAAAATTGTTTTCATAATAGATCTTCTATTACATAATAAAGTCAAATTGATTCCCTAAAACTAGCATAATTGTTGAAGTCCGTATTCCATTACTTCTTCAATAGCTTTTTCTTTCCCATAGGTTTATTGTATGACACATAAGTTTAATCTCTATATAGCTAGCATAATCTCGGATAACTCATTTTTATCTTAAAGATTAGTTAAAAAGTGCGTCCTTTTCAATTATATGACATCATTTTCGTATTAAAAAATTCATTGAAAAGATTTATTAATCAAGGTATTTTTAGTATATCTCACAACTTTCTAACTTTCAATAAGTATCTCATTTGGATGTAAACATTTTTCTTCTTTCATCTTTAAAGGGGCTGTACTTCATTTTGTTAGATCAATCTATAATGCATCTTCATTTTTTTTATTGTGTTCTTTTAAAATAGTTTTTTTATTAAAACTTGATTTAATAATTTCTCAAAGTACATTCCATATTTTCTTGATCTCTTTAGTTTAATTATGATCATACTTTTTAGATCTCTTATCTTTTCTATTAGTGTTTTGTATATCCCATTGCCTATACCTTATTACCAAACCTATTCTATAAATCTTCAAAAACTACAATTTTTTTTTATTGCAAGACTTTCACCTTTCTTATAATTATTATTAGTAGTATTCAATTTGCCATTAAAAACATATATATTTTTTTCTTTTTGTATCTACTTACTCTATCACCAAGTCACCTTATTAGTGTATTTTTCAATGCTACTAAAATTTTTGTACAATCCTTGTATAAATTAGATATCTTACCCAACATATTGGCTAGTTTAAGTGAAAAATTCCAATTTACCTCTATAAGAAAGCTAACTCAAATAAATAATTTTTTACCTTTCAAACCTGGCCACCCTATTTTAGGCCTATTGTTTATTTTGTTTGTTTTAATTTGCTTAAATATGCATTCATGATGATTACACTATGTGGTATGGTCAAATTCTATCTTATAATATTTGCTAAAAGATATATTCTCTTTCTATGAAAAGAGGTCCTTTTATGAGCTGTCTGCTTTTTCTTTTTAAAGTAATTGAGCGTTCTTTTCATTTCTTAGAGCATATATTCGTTATATAAGATCACGTGATACTATGAAATTAAGTATAACTTCTCCCATTCTATTTTTTTCCCTCTCCTATTACATAATTAATTCTCTTGTTGCTCTTCTTTTAAAATCTTTATGTTCATTTAAGACATCCCTGATCTATGCAGTATTTCATTAATTCCCTTTCAAATTTGATTTTTTAAATAATCTTCTAACCTTATATAAGGAATATATGCACTAACCATATGCCTAATGTTTTTATTGTTAATTATCTTAATAATCATCTGATCACTAATTTTATTCACCTTAACTAGTTTTTCTTTCAAATCTCCATCCACTTTTATCTTAACCTATTCCTATTTGTTAACCGTGCAAATATAATAATATATAACCTTCCCATTGGTTTTTACTTTTTAACCCCTTCCATATAGTTCATTATAAGCAAATAATATTTATTCTTCTTCTAATCATTGTGTTAATCAGTTCTCTTATCTTCTTATTCTAAGTTTCCAACTTACATTTTTTATACTTAAGGCAGCTTCGCCTATTTTTCATGACAATTGGATAAGTTGTGGTGAGTCAATGAGCAAACCTTAACCTTGATTTTTCATGATAATCGTATTTTGTTGTGGCACCTCACATGGGGGTAATTTCCTAGCAAGCTTTTGTCTACTTCTCTTCAGAATTAAATTAGGTTGAGCATTGGTTCGGGGAATACCCTTTCACTAGCAAAATTTAAAATTGGATTCATTTTATTTGTTTTGAAAAAGTTTTACAATTGCATATGTTGTTCTTGAGCATAATGTTTCCTGCTTGTGACTTCTAATATAGGAATACTAGCTCTAAATGTTGAGTTACACTCAGAATTTTGAATGCCTTAGATTGATTATCCACCTTTTTGTTTTTACAATCTATCTAATAGATCAGTCAACTACGGGTAGTTGATATAGATATAATATTGCTACAAAAAGAATAATGTATGTAGAAAATTTCATATGATTTAAAATCTATGCCTTACCAAAATAATTTTAACAACCAAATTATAGTAGCATGAGTTGGATTTGGGTTATCTTATAACCTGCCAAAAAAAATTTGTAGATCGAATTCCTTGTTTTTTTGTGTTTTTTTGCAATGGTCAACCTTGATGCAACCCGTCTGCTCCGATGGATTTCCAATATAATTATATACTTATTCTTTTACATATACATGCATCTGAAATTTTTTATATGCCACTGTAGTCCTTATTCTATTTTCTTGATGTTGTCTACCTGATTTAGTTTTGTTTTTTTTTCTTCTTCTATTTTTTGTTAATCAAGTGATTTATGCTTTTGCTTATTTAGACTATTAATGTTTTTACTCTTTTCTACCTATTACCGACACTATTTTGAAAAATACTTATTATACAGTCTAAAGAATTGTGAGCCTGAATTCATTGTGTCTACCCCAGAAAGACTACTGGAGCTTGTCTCACTAAAAGCGGTTGACATTTCTGGAACATCTCTATTGGTACGTAACAATATTACTTGTTGTTAGGCTTGCAGGATTCTGGTATTTTCATTTTTTTACAAGCTAATTTGAATTGTTTTTTTTTCTTTTTGATTTACTTTCACATGTTTAGTTTATCTTAACACATTTAGCAAATAATAGAAACGGTCAGTGTTCTGTGTTCTCTGTCATCAGACCCTCTTGAACTTTTGGGGTATATTTTTGCCATCGCAAGTTTCCCAAGATCCAGAATTAGACATCCGATTAACAAAAACTTTAGAGCTTATTAAATCGAGGCACAACTTAACAATGTGGGAGCGAGGAGGAAGATGACAGCTGTTGCCGCAATGCATTATAATTGTGCTGTCTCTGGGTTGAGAGCGAGGAAGTAGATGACAGCTGTTTCAGCAATGCAATATAATTTTGCTGTCTCCGGGTTGGCTGTCGAGGCCATTGAATCATATAGTTAAGTGAAGCTTGGAACTTACTGACTATAGGCGGGAGTGTTTGTGATACGGCGGTGCCTATCCTAAGGTCAACTTTGTTTTTGGTAGGCATAAGGTTAATTTAGTCTTTTATTATTATTATTATTATTATTTGGTACAAATAGACTTGTTTTGTCTCGGGTTAGGTGTTTATGTATGAGATTGAGTTGTGAGTCTTAGACTTGAGACTTACTGGCTATAGGCGGGAGTGTTTGTGTTACGTAGCTTGGAACTTACTGACTATAGGCGGGAGTGTTTGTGATACGGCGGTGCCTATCCTAAGGTCAACTTTGTTTTTGGTAGGCATAAGGTTAATTTAGTCTTTTATTATTATTATTATTATTATTTGGTACAAATAGACTTGTTATGTCTCGGGTTAGGTGTTTATGTATGAGATTGAGTTGTGAGTCTTAGATCTGAGATTTGAGAGAGATTTTCTATCTCTTGAATTATAGGATTTGAGAGAGATTGCCTATCTCTTGAATTGTTGATGTTTATCTTTGTATTCTTACTTAGTTTTTTATTTATTGATTATTTTTTGAAAAGATATTGTGTTTGCCCTATTTTTTTTTTTTTTTGAAAAACGTGCTAATTTTGAGGCTGAATCATATCAAATTGGTGTCAGAGTAGTTGATTTTTGGGAGATCACTGATAGGAGCTAATCAAAGCTCGACAATATCTCTGCGCACCAAGGTACATGGATGGGTCCGAAGTGTTTGTTGTGTTGACTGTATTGCGGCATCCAGTGCCAAAACAGTCGTGTCCTAGGAAGCAACAGTCGAATTGCGGCGTGTAGGCGGCGATATAGACCCGATTTGAGCGCGGTGGGGAAAGATCTCGACATTCCCATGACTTCAACTCGCGAGACTTCAACTTGCGAAACAATCATGATCAGAGTTAACTGAGAAGAATCACAACATACACCCGAAACTCCTTCGTTTGCCTCTTACTTCATCGCGTACAGTCATGATCACAGCTAGCCGGGAATGCTCCGACGGGTTCACGACCGACTAAAGTGGTGGACTGCGACGAATGGAGACCCGAAGCTTCCCTCTTCCAGGCCGAGGGTATCTCAACGAATAGAGGCCTGAAGCTCCCATCTTTCGTGATCGAGTTGATCCATTCGATACAGTCACGGAAAGAGCCTAACGTAAGCATCAGAGGGATTGCGGTGTGCATTGTCCTAATTGTGATCCTAGAAGTCAGTGATCGGATCCGGAATCAAGCTTGCCCAAGTGAAAAGAAATAATGGCAGCAGAGAAAGTAGATAATTTGGAGGAGAAGTTAGACGAGGAGATGAGTTAATTCATATCTAGGATGAAAAAAGGTTCGCTATTTTAGACGTAGGTTCTCTTCTATGGAGAATCGAATGTAGGATGATTCGAGAGCATGGGCGAAATTCGAGAGATGCTAAAAAGACTCATTGAGATACAATCCAAATTCCCGTCGATGATTTAATTTAAAAGAGCTAAAGAAAAAAATATCGAGCTTGAGGAACATTTGGAGGAAAACATCCACCATCATGAACCCCCTTCTAGGGCTTCGATTGGGGGTGGATTGGAGATTTCTGATAGGGGCTGTTGGGCCTAAATTTAGAGAAGAGATTATGCAAGAGGTATGAGGGAGCACGAAGAAGAAAGAGGAGAAACAAGGGATATGACTATGATCGAAGGAGGAAGTTTTACCCTCGATATATAGGACAACAACGAAGGGAAAGGAAATTGGGGTGGAGGTGCTAGAGTTAGGAAGTTGAAGATGTCACACATGGGTGGGTGTATCCGGTGGAGTGATACTTCACGATGAGTGCGTTAGATGGGGAGAAGAAACTCATGGCGGCAGGATTATGCTTGGAGGGGGAAAACCTTAGCCTGGTTTCCGTGGAGGGAGGATAGATACCAGATTTGTTCGTGAGATGAATTTAAGGATTATTTGTTGTAATGTTTCTGGGTCATTTGGGAAGGAGACTTACATGAGCAATTCTATGTCTTCAGAAGGGGACATTCATAGAATATAAGGAGTGATTTGAACTATTGTCGGGACAACTGTGGGGGATTTCTGAAGCAAGGACTGGAGGGGAATTTCATGAAAAACTTAAAGCACGACCTATGGGCAACACTCCGACTATTGAAACTACTTGGATTGAGGGAGATGATGGAGCTAGCCCAGATGATGCAGGATAGAAATCAATTGAAGGCCAATTGGAGCAACACAAATGGAGCGTCGTACTGAACTGCTATAACCACGACAATGCAAAAAATTCAAACAGTGGAAGTCCAGATAGAGGTTGCACGGGACAAGAATAATGGGCCACAACTGGGAGCAACACTTGAGCGCCTTATAGAGAGATTTTGGAGAGGCGAACTAAGATGTTATTTTATCGGTGTGATGGGAAGTTTACTCTAGGACACCGTTGCAAGGATCGAAAATTACAAGTTCTCGTAGCGCATAGTGAGGAGGCAGATGATGAAGGAATAGAGACAGCTGTGGTGGAAGAGGAACACTCCCTTTTTCTCATCTAGAGGACAATGTATCTTTTGGTGGAAGTATTGTTGCCTATCCAAAGGAAAATTTGTCTTTTGCACGCCTAAGGGTAATTTAGTCTATTATTATTATTCTTATTGTTGGGTATAAATAAGCTTATTATGTCTAGAATTAGGTTTATGCATGAGATTGAGTTGTGAGTCTTTGATCTAGAATCTGGGAGAGATTTTTTGCCTTTCAAATTGTAGGAATTGGGAGAGAACGCCTACTTCTCGAATTGTTATCTTTGTATTCTTACCGAGTTGTTTTATTCATTGAAGAAATGTTGTGTTTGCCCTAATTTTTGTGGAAAAATGTGCCAATTTTGAGGTTGAATTATATCAGTTTGCTTTAAAGTTGTGATGTTAACAAAAGTGGCGTGAAATGGGATTGATTTAACATATTCAGCACCAGGTGATTCATGCCATAAGAATTTATTAAATGTGCACTAATCCAATGCAAATGGGTAAGTTTTGGCAAGTTTAGGAGAGGGTAATCAATGAGAGAATGGGGTTTAGGGATGATGATAAGATAGAGAGAGAGAGAGGGAGAGCGCGAGGGAGAGAGAGAGAACATAAATAAGAAAAAGAAATTCTGTTCATTATCAAGGTGGGAGAAACATGACCCATGGATTGGGAAAAATTCATTTCATTATCAATAATTGAGCATTTGAATGACATTGAACAAATGAGGCATTTGGGCCCAACTTGCGTGCATCATGTGTGATCCCTGTTATTTTCATCTTGTTTGGTCATCTCAATCATAGAATATTCAGCCAAACAAAATTTCTATGCTCTAGATGTGCTTGCATAGTCCATTTGATTAATGGATGCTGTTCACATAGTTTTGACGGTGCTTGAAATGAATTTTTCTGACCTATGTGCTGTCGCACTGTTGTTTGCCTTTTTTCTGTCTGATGCGTATCAACATACTTTGTTCTTCAATTGAGAGATGTTTCAAGTAATTCCAGTTATAATCAATGCATTTTATACTCGATCTATGCAACAACACATTTCTTATCCGTCTTTGACTTTGTGATTAGTTGCATCAAGTTGTGGGACTTGCATCAAGGTCAACAAGGAGGAATCGTAAATAGTCCTCAAAGGTGAATGTAAGAACATGCTTAGCTAAAGTGATACTGTGATTGATCTGAGTTCTTAAAAAATTGGGTTCAAATTTGATTTCTATGTCCATGCCCTGATTCACAAGCAAACCTTGTGTTCTCAAATGTAGAACATGTGCAACTCTATGTTCACGATTTGATTCAAGTATAAAATCATCATGCAATTGAAATTTTTTTTAGGTCTTAATCAGAAAGGGGTCATAATTTTCTATATCTTTAATACCGATTTAAGAGATTAGTATAGGTGACAATTACTTTTGTATGTAGAGGATTCATATGAAGAAGTTGCTTTTCTGATTGAGCAATAGAACCTCTAGCAATTATACCTAGAACTTGGTTTGTGTGATCGTATGAATCAGAGAACATTTTTGTAAGTAGAGGATTGAGATGAAGAAATTGCTGCCTGATTAGTGAAAGTGAGTCCTGGATGGGTCTATAACCCTTTAGAAACAAGCAAAAGAGATTTCGCTATTAAAGCATACACATGTAAGTGTAAAATCATGAAATTCTTTACATCAAAACCCCCAATGATGCCAATATTTGTTCAAATCTCCTAATCACAGCCGCTGCAATGAATGAGCATTTAATGACTTTAATGGATGTTTAAAGATTGGGAAATGATATCTACCTCTATAACACACATTAAACCTTAAGCTGCCATAGCCTTCATAAAAATCAACTAGCCATTATATCCCTTGCTCAATCATCCAAAAGATGCAGAAGTTGTCCAAACCTGTTATGCACGAGTTTTTCAGATCATCTAGACATTTTTATATTGTCCGAATGTTTGCGGAGCAGAAATAAATTGCATTTTGAAGCATTTTCGGATATATGTACTACATACATATGATTTCCAGCAATTGTGAGATTTTTCTGCATGAAGTTTGACATGTTGGTATTTGGGAATCCACAATATAACTTGAATTGCTGTTTCAAATTTTGGCGGCATTAAGTCTTTTATAATATTGCTTAAAAGTATAGAATTTTACCAAATTCAGCTGTTTTGCTAAACCTTCTAAGTTCAAATTCAATATAAATAAACTCCCTGAAATCATGAAAATTTCCCACAAATCCATTTAATATGCATAACACTTTTTGAACAAAATTTTATCAAAACTACCATTTTATCTTTATTTTTACTTTTACATGAAAAATTCAAATTCTTGTAGTTGATAGAATACGACAAAGCCATCAACACAAGTCTAAATTTAATGAAACTTGGAACGCCGCTATACTCGTCCATAAGAATCATACTTCTTGAGGTCTTTCATGAAAAATCAATATTAAACTTTAAGGATTTATTTCCTAGTCAAACTTAAGCATTCAAATGATTTTCTAAGCCTATTAATCATGGGAAACGTCTCCCAACCAAAAAAAAAAAAACAACATTTGAAACAGCAATCCAAAGCTTAAAACCCAAAAAATAAAAATGATCTAAGAAATCTTGTGATAACCAATAGCTAAGCCATCGCTCAATCCAATCCAACCCTTGCAAGACCTTTACCCTGATCATTGCTTGACATTTATATGCTTCTTCTTTTGAGGTTTGATTGGATTCTCAAAATATGTGGGTAAACCATTAGGTCGCACCAAAGAAGATTTGTTACGTAAAATCTCTAATAAGAATTCGTGGTCACGAGGCTTTCACTTACAATCTATGAATCATTCAAAGTAGCTGTTGTTGGTTTTGTTATGGGGGAATAAAATTGAATATGAAGCTCAACATGTTTGCTATAATTGTTTTTTTAGAAGTGGCACATTTATTGAAAATCTTGGGTTTAAAATTTTTTTTCATTCATGGAAATCCTTTTAGTAATGATGATATGATTAGCAAGCCAGCATGCAATGAAATTATAAGTAGATATGAGAAGATGCAATTCAAATTTTTGAATAATTTATCAGTTTGACAATAAAACTTAAATGCTCGGAATTCAAATTCATGGTTAACTCTATTCTGGCGAGTGTTAGGATAACAATAAATTCAACACCTAGTTTATACATCCAGATGAAAGCAATTTCACTATGTCACTCTTTCAATTATACTCTCTAATTTTGATTTAGTGAAATGAAAGCAGCTTAGAGATATGAGCTTTTCCATTCAATATAATTGCAAGTAGATTCAATTTGTCATAAAATTTTGATTGAGTGAAATGAAAGCAGTTTAGAGATATGAGCTTTTCCATTCAACATAAAATTGCAAGTAGATTCAATTTGTCATAAAATAGGCAAAATTGTAGAAGTTTTTGAAAATATATAAAGCACATATTAGAATAATAATAATGTCTGTAGAACCATGGCATAAATAGTGGTAGTAAAGCAAAGAAAATAGCGATGCGGCGTGCTATGAAGAGGTAAATCAGAGGCATCCGTAATTCATGAAAATCACAAAAAAATAAAAAAAAAAGATGCAAATGCCAATATGATCGGAATAAGATAAAAGTTCTATGATCTTGCTAGTGATTCACCATCTTAAATTATGTCAACTCTTTGGGCTTTTTCTCAGTAGTTTCATTCTGAAAGTGATTGATTTAATAGGCCAGACAACAACAAGGCCACAAATTACTTACCACTTTCAGGGGCAACAACAATGTTGCTCATACCTGTGCCAGGATGGCTATTGATAGAGATCTTCTTTTGAAAGCTGTATATGTTGATAATCCTTTTTATTTTTGTTTTCCTGCTAGAGGATACGAGTCATATTGGTAGTGACCTAGGGACATAGTTTCTTGTTTTTTTGTATTTTGCTCTTGTAAGTTTTCTTTTTTTAATTTTTATTAATGCAATAGGTATGTATTCTAAAAATAAAATTAAAAGTTACTTCCACTCAATTAAGACTGCACAAGCACGATGACTTTTTCCTTGGTTACCCTTAAAAATATGATTCAATACTTTCTTAATCTTTGATTGCTCTTTAAGCTTTCGAAAATACATTTTAAATCTTTTTTTTAAATAATTTTTTTGATTCTTTAACAATGTCTTTTTTTTTTTCTCTAATTTAACAGGTTGTTGATGGACTAAGAAAATTTGTAGACTTGGATTTACCAGATAATCTAAAATCCATTAGAGATAGAATATCTGGTGACTCTCAGATAATTACTTTTAGCGATGGCCTTGGAGAAATGCCGGTTACTGTCCTGCTACAGCATCTGATAAGAGGAGCAGTTTATCGATTATTTGAAGATGAATCTGTTGCTAGTACTAGTAATTTTGTTTCACAATATATACACTTATATTCCTCAGAAGAAGAAAAGCTGTCAGAGGTATTTCATATTTTGTTCCTTTAATATCTAATGATGGATCCATTTATGTGTCATGTGGATGCATTTTACTGCTGAAAGTGCTAAGTTATGTCAAACTTACCTCTATTGGGCTCTTATTTATGTTGATTTGTAGTCTGCAACGAGTAACTAGAAAACTTCATTATTAATGTTATTTTTTGCGAACTAATACAGGCCATTAAGTTTTTATTTTTATTTTTAATTTTGTTGGGCTGTTTAGGTGCCTTGGTAGTGAAATTAACACTCAGGAATGATGATTTTAGGTAGTTCTGGTTCTGTGTAGTGAACATAGTTGTACAAGGAGTGCTCAAGGCATTGGGGTTTTTTTTTTCCTTTAAGGTTTTTTTTTTTGTCGGGAAGAAGAAATGAGAGAAAATGATTGTATAAATTGCAGATGAGGAGTAGGTATATATTTAGGTTAGATTACATGGTGATTGCCCAAAAAAACTAACCATTTTCATTGCAAGCCTCCTTGATGTGTTGGATGAGAGGACTCCGGATAGTTTTCCTTGGGATAGATTAGGTTGTGGAGAATAAAAAGAAGAGAAAGAACTAGTTTCTCTTATTCTAAATCAATGAATCTTTTTGTGCAATAGAAGAGTGGAGAAATCAAAATAAAGAAAGACACCCGAGTCATAAAACTAGAAACTAGATATTAATTCTAAATCTAGTGATAGAAGGAATTAAATGCCTGGATCCAAAAATTAACAAGTAGAATAATAGAAGCAATGGAATATTAAATGGAAATACATGAATCCTATGATACAATGATACCAACGCATTGAAAAGAAAAATCCATGATTCTTGTAGAAATAATTTCATGAAATTCACAGTAATATGCCTTTATTTTTTGGTCTTGTAGTGGTTAAGGCCCAAATTCTCTTGTTTATTTTGTATTTATTCTTGATTTTCTGCACTCCCCTTGAAGTTGGATAGCAAATATTAAATATTCATAGTTTGGAATTGAAAATTTTAAACTTAATGTTGGCAAAGGCTTTCGTTAGGATATTGAAAATTTAAAAATTGTGTGTTTGGGAGAGAATGTCTTATTGCCAATAATTTCATTTTTGAAGTGGTAGTCAAGCTTAATGCGCTTAGTCATGTAAATCATTGGGAAGTTTTCATAGCCATTGTTTTTCATAAATGTTGTCAGCCATTGCTTCAAATTCTAGTTCAGCATTGCTTCTAACAGTAACATTACATTTTCTATTTCTCCTGTCAGCGGGTTTCACTATTAGGGGCGTCAATTTTGGTTTATAGGCCGGCTTTTGATTTGACTTGAATTTGACTTGATTTGATACTACTTAGTCCAAACCTAACTCGCTTATTATACGAGCCAGAATGCTTGACTTGAACCTGACTCTACATAAGCACAATATATAGTTCACTTTATTTTACTTGTGTCAACGTAATCTAATTTGCTTGAATGTGGCCCTTTGAAGCAAATGAGAGTTGTCAAATTTTAGATTTGAAAATTAAATGGGTTATTTTTGGGTTTTTAGGTCAATCCAAACTCGAGTCAAATATTAAATAGGTAGACATTTTTGACGTGAAGTTGACTCGTATATTATTCGATTCAATCCAAACCTGGATTTCTAAGTTGAGTCCTTGTTGTGATACCATAGTTAACCAAAACCACAACATAAAAGCAAATATTACGTTGAAGTTCGAATAGGTTACAACGACTTTCGAAACATAAAATAAATAATAACAAACTTAAAAGGACACCCTAGGATGACGACGAAGAGGATGGGTGTTGGCTGGCTAGCAGGTGGATGTGCTGGTGGGAGGCTAGCTAGATGCTGATTGGCGGGCTGGTGGTAGCATGGAGCGTGTGAAAGGTGTAGGAGTAAGGGGGAAATGTGGGGGGGGGGGGTTGGTAGGTGGCTGTAGTAGGATGCATATCTTATTTTTGGGGGTTGTGAGGAGTATAGGAATGTCAACAAGCAGTTACGAAAATAAGGGAATATGTGGTTGTGGTCGGGTAGTGCGTAGCCTGGTGTTGACCTCATTTTCAGTGAGGTCTTAGGGTCTGTTTGGCGCAGCTGCAGATTCTCAGCTTTTTCAGCTGCAGCTGCGCTGCCCCAGGAAGCAGCTGTGGGGAAGCAGCTGCGGGGAAACTGTCTGTTTGGTGCAGCTGCGGGAAAAATGCCATAGGACAGTTGTTTCATGTAAAAATGACCAAACTGCCCCTGTTTGTTAAAACTGTTTTTAATTTTTGGTTTATTTGTATTAATTTGAGCGTGAAATACATAAAATTCAGAAAAATAGTATTTCTTTATAGAAAATTTTTTAAAAAATTTTTGTAATTTCGAATACCTATTTGAAAAAAAAGAAAATTTTGTTAAAAAATATTTTATATATTTTCAAACAGAATATTATTTATTTATAGAAAGTTTTTTAAAAATATAGTTTTTTGAAAAATATTTTTATCATGAGATCATGGTTTGTTGGACATTTCACATAAGTTTTTGAAAAATATTTAACATCTAAAATTACATATTTTGTTGGATAACACTTAATTTTTTAAGAGCATAATTCAACAAAAGTTTCTTGAAAACCCATTATAATCTAAACAGCTACCAAGTAAATGCAATTAATGATCATTCATAACCATTTATGAGAAGTTTAAATCCTTAATAGAGTTATTTATTACATCACCAGTGAAGTAAATTAATATCTCCTAACAAACACTCCTAATTTGACTGTTTTGTCATTATAAGAAATTGTAAATCAATCAAATATTAACCAACGCATTAGTTATTTGTTCTCGAATGGCCGTCATTTCAATTGCACCTTCCCCCTCCTTAGTACAAATGGTTGATTGTTCACTCTCATCTTGTAACATAGAACTACCAATTTGGTTTTCAGATGGGTCTTCAGCTATTTCCTGTTGATTTGCTTCAGCATTGACCCACTTCTTCTTCCAGACACCAAATGTTCTCTCGATGACGCCTCGCAAGGAAGAATGTCTTTTGTTGAACACCTCCTTTCTGTTTCGTGTAACGTTACTTGCTCGTTCAAAATCAGGTATATGATATCTGATATCAGAATATAGTTTGAGATACCCTCGCTGCAACGGATAACCAGCATCCACCAAATAATACTTGCCTGTGAGGTGTTGAACCATCAGTTTCAAATTTTAAAATAATACATTAATATTCTACTGTTGAACCTTCAGTTGCACCTTCCCCAACCTTCAGTCTCACATTCTAAAAAAACACATTTTATCAAAATGCAATTTCTCGTGGCGCAACATACCTTGAGGAGGATGAGGAAAGCTATAATGCGGATTCCGAGTTGCACTCTTGAATATTCTGCTGTCGTGTGCACCACCCTCCCAACCAGGCATGATAAATGTGAAACACATATTAAAGTCGCAAACTGCCATGACATTTTGTGTTGGGGTTCCACTTCGCCCGATAAATGCAACTTTTTCATCATTTGAAACACGTGCATCAACATGTGTTACATCTATGGCACCGATGCAATCTTAAAGATGGAGCGTTGGTAATTCATTAATCAATATCATGCTCTCATGTTAAATTTAACTAATGCAAGACTAAATCCGTACCTTAAAGAATGGCATGTATCGTCGATCGTGACGAATCTCCGTAGGAGTTCGTGAAAACGTTGAATCCATTGGCTTTATGACTTGTTTGGCGAGGCTCGCCAAAGCACTCAAACCCACCGAGAATTACCTGCTACGTAAAACCAATTCGAACCCAAATCAACATGTTTCTGTCGGAAAAACACAAAACCTGCAACGTAAAACCGTGAGGAACCGCAAAGCCACAAAACCGCAAAACCGCAGATCCGCAATAGTGTACTGCAAGATCTGCAACTTGGATGGACAATGCCAAATTGATCCCAAATCTAGGGGTACTATTCAGGTAAGAGTTAGATGAAGTAATTTCTCTTGTGCCACAAGATCTACCTAAAGCCATTGTTCGTTAAGAAGCAACAGATCCACGACAGGGAAGGAGGAGAAAAGAGAAATGACAGAAACAGGAAAGAAATGTGAAGGAGAAACCATCACGAACCGCAAAACGCAAATCCTTCGTCAGATCCTCAAAGAAAGAAAAAAATAACTTGTCTTACCTTAGATCTGTCGGTCGAGGGACGACGAAAGAGGAGAAGGAGAAGGGGACTCGAGGGAAGCAGCGGGGAATCACCTAGGGTGGACGGTCAGACGCGGGGAAGCAGCGGGAATCACCGAGGGTAGGTAGAGGGAAAATGGTTAAAATTTAGGTCGAAAGCGGGAGACGCCACAGAAATCCCGCGGCCCGCTTTCGCCCCGCTGCCGCCGCCAAATTGCCCAAAGTCGCGAACCAAACGGATAGCTTTCGCGAGAAGTCACGGCAAATGCCCGCGCCGCACCTAAAACGTGCTCCCAAACAGAGCCTTAGTCTCCTACTCCTAGAAATCATGATATGGCTTTAGGAGTTCCTTATTGACCATCCTAGCGGACTAGCAATGGAGCCTACCTCCCATAGAACTTCGAACCACTTCTTGACTCATTTTTGTGAAGATTTCGCATGGGTAGTTCCAAACATTCGACTCTTAGTTGCAAGGGCTAAGGACTAACATGTAGAAGACCCAAAAATGAGGTCCTACAAGATCAGAAGACCCTAGGTGAACCATTTGTTACTCGAATACTCGCGAATGCCGTAATTTACGCACTCACTGCACCACACACGATGTTGACTTGAATTGACTTGCCCGTCCGTGAACTAGTCCGGACGATCATGGATGACGAAACAGACCACAACTACGCACCCGGGACATCAATTTTGGATGGGAAAGACACCCATATCATTATGGTTCCATGCGCGAGCAAGTGGCACGAAAATCTATGCACTTTTTATTTTAAATTATGGGGTGCGGTTCTGACTTAGCTCAAGTGCAATTCGGGTTCGATTTGGGCTAGACACGGGCTAATTACTTCAACTCACAAATTTCAAATTTCAAGTTTCAAATAT